CACTAAATTAAGCTCAGATGGAAGATCACTTTATAGATTTGTCCAGGACTCTAGCTCCTGATACTTCAACAACTATAAACATGATACTGGCTAATGCAAAATGTTTTACAGTCATTGATTTATGCCCAGCTTGTTTCAGTATAATGGTGCATCCAGAATCTCAGTATAATTTTGTCTTCACCTGGGAAGGAAAACAGTAAAAGTGTACCAGATTTCCTCAAGGGTTTGCAGGATGGTTAACTTTATTTTTGAAAATCCTAGGCAGATTTAGAGGAGAGTTAACCAATAACTTTGTATTAATACAGTGTGTGGATGATGTGCTAATAGCAAGTACAAATAGGGAAAATTGGAATACACATGTAATGCCAGTTGCTTTGACAGCTAAAGGCTATCAAGCCTGCCCAACAAAATTGCAATTCTGTAGAGAAAAGGGATGGTATTTGGGAGATTGTTTTTTGTCAGGAAAAGGCAGGAAGGTTCATGACTGAACAAAACCTTTCCAAGATATGTCTAAGGCTACAACTTACAAATAGAGAAAAGTTGTGTTCTCTGTACCACCCTTTAGGGAAAGTAGAAAGAACAAATTGAAGTATTAAAGATAACAAAGATTTGTTCAGAGACTTAAATGGCCAGATGCTGTACCTGTATTCCTGTTGCTTTAATGCAAATGAGGTGTAAAGGCCAAATAAATTGAGACTGGCCCAGCACAAGTGTTATGTGGTTGGAATATTTATATTATGAATACAATCTTGGCTGCAAGAGCATTCCAGTTTGTTGCCTTTTTTTTAATTACTTGTATTACTGGAGAGACCCTGGGATCCAAATGTTTGATAAATACACACAGATTTCAGTCTCTAAGGAGATAAAAAGAAATATGTATGCTTAAGAGTTCTAGAGGAAAGAACCAGAGGTGAGTGTCAGCTGGATCTGTGGGTCCAGGGTTTGCTCTTCCAGCATGATCAGACATTCATTCCATGGGCTAAATGCCTCCATGCTTGCACTTTCTGAAAATCTTACTCATTTCACAATATCAGGGCATGCAAAAATTTAATCTAGTAATAAAAGGCCTCAATTATTTGCTGTTTTGGCCCCAGCCAGAACTACCTTGTTAAAAAGTATCACGACCAAGAATTTTTCAATCTGCCTTTTAAGTCCTACTTGGCAGGCTGAAGCTGAGTTTCCAGCTTTGATCCTATAAAACACTATTTTTTCAGCCTCTTTCAGTTTGTGGATCTCCTAAATTTTATTTTTCCAGCGCTGTTCTGTTGCCTTTACAACGAATTTCAGTCTCTTGTCAAGACAGCCATTATCCCAAATGTCTGCATTTTTGAAGCACTCTTAGAAAGTAATACAAAGTTAAATGACCTGGGGGTTTTAGTTGTTTTTTTTTAATCAAAGAATATTCTCTGCTGCTTAAAGGAAACTTTTAAAAGCTCTTGAATGCTTTAATTTGCTGCAGGTATCAGTGACTGCAGTTTCTTGTGTGTGGTAGCAAAGCTTAAGGAAAAGGCACAAGTGTGTTTTTTGCTGCTTTTTCAACCCTTCTGACTGTCACATTGGGTTATTCATGTGCTAGAATGTGGCAGATAGGGAATCCTTGTCACAACTACCTGCAATCTTGTGGTTGTAAAGCTGTTCTGGTGGCTTTTGTCCCCATTCTACACTGTATTTGAAGATTTTTTTTTAATGAGCCTGGCATTAACCTTCTCCTAACCACAGCAGATGTAATGCTCAGACTGTTCAGTGAATCTTGCAGAGAATATTAACCTGTGAAATCTCTTTGCCTCTGTAAATAATGCTTATATTATTAGTTTGAAGGTGGCAACATTACTGAAATTTCTCAAGTTCATCTTCCAAATTGGGGTTTAGCAAGGTCTGCTTTCCCCTCAAAATGAGGAAAGATAAAGCAGGGAGGAAGAGGAATGTGCTCCATGTGCTCCTGCAGTTAAGTGTTGCTCATGTAGTGACAGGATTGAACCCATATGTCTGAATAGCTCTGCAATAATAAACCATTTGGTTTGGGTTTTTTTCCTTTCTTTATTCAAGCGAATGCAAAACATTTCACCCTGCACACAGCTAAATATAAATTGTCTCATTTCTAGAAGTTTTTCCCATATATGGGCTCTTCTTTTTCACTTGTCATTGTGGGGCAGGCTGGGAGAGCCATGTCAGAGGAGCTGTATGTGTTTGTAGGATATTGGACATTCCTTCCATCTCTTAGCAGGAGAAGGATGAAATGCAAAATGTTTGAGGAAGAGTGTGCATTTCTATTGGCCTTGACTCTTCCAAGTGTTGGACTGTGCCTTCCCCAGAGGTACTACAGGATGGAGAAAACCACATGTACCTTGTCTATAATTAGGTCTGGAGCCTTTCTGATCTCAGCACGTTTCTGCAATGTCCCTTTTCTTAATTTATGGGTTTCTTAAAATGTCCCTGTCATGGAGATATCATCTGTAGTTGAGGCTCTGACATTAGCATTTGCTTTTATTTTTGCTTGCTATCTCTATTGCTATGATCAAGAAAGATATTTAAACTAGCCAGAGAGCTATGCTCATTTTCATGTAACAAAGGAAGAGTTCATGTGAATCTTCATCAGTCTCTGGCGTCCTCTGCCCCACACAGAAGCATTTCTCAGGTGTGTGCCCCATTCCTGCCTTGGATGGATGGACAGAAGGGCCACTGCTGGAGCTGCAGGCCTGTTTTCTGTTTGCATATGTTGAGTTTCTGGATGTAGCTCAATTGGCTACCTCTGAGTGAATCTGGGCTTGTGTGTTTTCCCATTGAGCACTGACACACATTAATGACAGTAAAAATAGGTGTGCTGTCTCTGCTTACCAGCCTGTGGAAAGGGAGATGTGCAGAGTTTGATATGTACAGATTTCTCCATAATATTTCATGGGTTATTTCCTGCTTTACTTGCTAGCTCAGGTTTTCCCATCTCCCATGCTCCATCAAGACCTCATGCCATCTATGGAATGAATCTCTATTCCCTTCCATGAAGCCTTCAGCATGAAGGGGCAAAATGACCCTGTGAGCTTGCATCTCACCAAGTAAAAAAGGCTTTAGTTTACCTTCTAACTACAAATTCTTGGGGTTTTTATTTAGTTCACCTTCCCTTCCCCCTTTTTCTACTTGTGATTTCTGTTAAGAATTACAAGGTGATTTTTGTCTGCAGTAATGACACAAAATTCTATGTCTTTATATAAAAAAGGGGAACTGAATTCTCTGCCTAACCAAGGGTGCTGTGAGCACTCATTAGCCAATGCTAGAAATTAATGCCATCTAACAGTTTCATTATATGTGAAATTTGAGAGTTTTGCTCTTAAAAGAGGCTGCTGATTGATGACAACACAGATTGTGTGTGTGCTGTCATCTTTATGTTGGCTGTGATTCCTTTTGGGTTTTTTTTTAGCTAGTGAGGATGTGAGGGACAGAAGAAGCCTAATGGGACTTCATATATTGTGTGATGTATGGGGCACTTGCAGTCAGGAATATTGAACTCATAAATGTACTCATTTGCCCTGGAGTCACTGAGAGGGAGACGAAATGCAGGACACTGCAATGTCACAGTCGTGCAGAGTCACTTCTGTGACAACAGAGCGGCAGCAGAAAGGCTGTATTTTCCTGGGATTTTACTGCAAATGTGCAAATGGGCTCTGCTCTCTTTGGCTGGAAGTGAAGGTGAATTTTTGCTGGACTAGTCTTTATGCAGACCCCTTTTGCATCTTGTTTTGCTGAGATTCTGGACATTTTGAGGTGCTGTTCGGAAGTGACCCTGCATGTGCTGTCTGCTCTGTCTCGTGTCTCCACCACAGCGCTGCAACCCTAAGCTCTACCAGCTTGCCTTCAAGCATGAAGGTGAAATGAATTTGAATGTGCACATCCGAGGCAGATGGTTAGCCCCAGCCTTGCAGTGGTATTTGAGAGAGATTTTCTTCGTGTTATTTTAGCAGCACAGAAGGAAATGAAAGTGTTTCTTACTGTAAATTCTTTTTTCTCTCTCCCTTCCTCTGCACTTCTGTGTCTGAAGACTCAATTCACTGCTTTTCTCAGAGAGAATTCTATTTCTGTCTCATCTTAGATCAATTTAGGCCTGTCCTATGCCCATATGATAAAGACAGCATATTGCTCTGATAGCCTTGAACCAAATTTGTAAGTTTGGGACACTGGGAGCAGAAGGTGAGGTGCAGTTGTCATTGATAAGAAGTCAGAGTGGCCAAACCAGCGGCTAAAGTGTGGAATTTTTCAACCATAACCAGATTGTTTGAAAAATAGTGCAGACCATAATGCAAGGGGTTTACCCACTTCTCAGAAATGTGTGTGTGCATGTGAACCCACTGCATGGAGCTTCCTCAAGGGGTTGTGTCTATATCTGTGTCCAGAGAAACAAAAATGTATGGTTCCCAGCTGCATCCTGAACCCAGCTGTTGTAGTTATTCCCCAACACATCTGCTCAGTGTCTGAAAGCATCCAGAAGTTGGCTCTAATGCTATACCAGTGTACTTCCTCCAGTGAGTGAGACAGCTCGTGCTGGTCCTGTGTTGTTTGTGTAATCCATCGTGGCACTCGGTGCAATGCCCAGTGTGCTTTAAGCCATCTCAAAAAGTGCCAGGTATCTGGCCCTACCTGGCTTTCCAGTTAACTGGTTCACAGTGTTTCTTCAGGATTGGCCTTTCAGTCTCATCTCTGAGGTCTGCACTCCAAACTGAGCTGGGGTGGCTTCTGGACTACATTCAGTTTAGTTTTGCAATGTAACTTAATTTCCCATAAGCTTTGCTCTGCCTGAGGTGGCTGTATGGAGCCTTTCCTGCACAGCAGGTACCACTCAATCACTAGAAGAGCCTGGCAAAGTTCACTTTGGCAACACAGCCTTTGGGAACAGAGGGAGAGCCTTGTTCCACACCTCCTTCCTGCTGGTGAGATGTCAAGGAGTGATCATTTTTAGTATTTCAGAAAATCAGCTGGTTTTCATGTGCACTGCTTTATCTGACTGGACTAATTTCTTCTCCCGGGTGGGGATGCTGTACTTTGATAAACTAGAAAAGGATGAAAGAAGTAGGTGTTTCTCCTTTGACTGCTCTTGGCATTAGCATTTTCCTAAATGGGTGAGCTGACCAGGAGATACTTTTGTCTCCCCTCACCTCTCAGTCCTATTCTCACACTCACAGCTACCTTTGAGCTGGGGGACTTTGCAGAGCACATTGTGGCTTGCATTGGCTCAGCCCGAGTTCAGTCACCCAAAACCTTGCAGCTCTATTTTGAAACATCATTCAATCTGTCCACTATGGAGTTTCTTTTCTTTTTTTTTTTTTTCACTCTTGCTTCTGACATCATTTCCCGAACACTATATTCACCGAGCTCTGTAGCCAGATCGTCTCCTCAGCATATGATTCAAGGAGCTCTTTGAAATGGATTTCAGCTCTCCTTTTACTCTGCTCTGCCTGCTGGTGATAATAACTGTTACTCAAGGTAAGCAGGATTTTTCTTTATTGGGGTTGGCACAGATTTGCCTAGATGAGCAGACACCCTAATTTTGCTCCAAGATCTTTTAAGGACGCTACCAGGTTTAGGGTGACATCAAATGGTGTAGCTGCTAATGCATGAAAGGGGAAGTCAGACCAAAGTAAGACAGATTATTTTTCAAGTAAATGAACAATAACTAACAATATTGTACTTTCTGAGTGTCCTGTGTCTGGAGAAGCTTTGCAGTGAGGAATGTAAGGTCCTTGTATGCAGAGTGCTGGCTGGAGAGCGACGTGGTCCAGCTCCCAACACTTGGTGTGACCTTGGGTTAGTCCCCAAGCTGCTGTCACCCTACCTTTTACCCATCTCTGATTTATGCACAACAACTTAATAATGTGCAAGGGTATTGTGGGACCTGTTTGAGTTAAAACTGCGAACTTACTCTTTGGGTGAAAGCAGCTGTGGTCTTGCAGCTGTTATTTCTGCTACCCTCTGTGCAAGGTCCATGGCACTGACGCCCTAAGGACCTTTCTTTGCACAGTCTCTCATCTCTGATGGGGGCTGGTAGAAGGTCATCTCAAATTTAGGGAGAGAAAAGACCAGCTGTTCAGCCTTTTTTTTCCCTGTGTGCATGATATGTACACCATTCCTGCGTTGTTGAAGTGGGGGAAGTTGGACCTTATAGAAGGTGTTCCACTCCTCTGATTTTCCATTGCTGGTGATCCAACCTGTCCCTAGGGTTGGGTCTGCCCCTCTTGTGTCTCACCTGGGCATTTTCCTTCCTGAGAGGCAGCCCGGAGGGGATGGATGGACATAGCAAGCTTGCTTTCCTTCCAGGCTCTGTCATCTGGACCGGTGCGCTCAGCGGTGATTCAGCAGTCTTTTCTTTGGAAATCCAAAGCCTGCAGAATTTCTCCAGCATGAGCAAGGAGGATAAGAAATGCTCTACAACTGTCCTAAATGATACCTTGTTGGCCAAGTGTGGCACTTCTGCCAGTAGATGGCTGAACTTAGAGAACGGCTCCCTAGTGCTGAGGAGTGTGGAGAAAGATGATGAAGGAAAATACGGATTTGTTTTTCAGAACACCATCAGAAATTTTACATTGGAAGTATTTGGTAAGTGGCCTTCTTAGCAACAAAAAGCTTTTGAACTTGTGAACTTGTGGTTGGAAGGCCAATGCCTTGAAATTTTTCCAAAGAAAATGCTTGAGCTTGTAGGAGCTATAGGTGCCTCTGGGAGTCGTGCCAGTCTCCCTGCTGTCCCTTGTAGCCTCAGAATTCCTGCTCCCTTTTGTGTGCCTGCTCATCCATCTGCAGGTAGCAAAGACAGAAACAAAGTCACTTCTGTACAGGATCCAGCTCATTGCTTGGGTTAATATGGAGAAGGGTTAGTAGGGTTTGTCCTCCTGCTGAATAGTGCTCCAGGCAGACAGAGAGCCTTGCTCTGGTCCTCATCATCACCGTTCCTTTTGCAGGGCTTTCACTTACACAGGCTTCTAAGATAAATTGAAGCCATGAAACTGTAATGAAAATGTCTGAGCAAACTGGTCTCAGTGAAGACAAATGAACCCTTTCACCTTTTGGGTGCAAACAGGCGGAACTGCTGTGCACAGTAGGTCAAAGATGTGACTCCTTGGTATGAAGAACAGGGGCTTAGACTGGAAGTAGTCAAAGACCAAAGCAGTGTCCTGGGTTTAACCTCCATTTCAGTGGATTTACTTCAGGAGCATTTGCCTCCTCCTTCTGTTCTGTTGCCACCCCTAAGGCAGGGAAAAACTTCTACAGCCAACATGTTCCTGGAGGCAGGGAATTTTAACTGAAGATGATATCCTGGCACAAGACAGTGATTTCTGAGCTTATTTCCATGGATACATGTTCTCAGTGTTACTCCTGCTGTCCTAAAATCATACCAGTTCTCTATCTAGTTTGTATATGCAAAGCGGCAAGTGTAGGAAATAGGTTTGCTCCTTGTAGTAGACTGAAACTGAGAAATTCAGGGAAATGTAGCAAGAGTAGTGATTAATTTATTCATTTGAAAATGTCATAGTATGGGTATTGTATTTAACTGCAGGTGTCTTGTGTTCATATCCATGTTGGCCATGATTTGCACCGGTTCCTCTCTAAAAAAGGAAGAAGAGGCAGAGTGACAGCAAAAGTGGAGGGGAGGACTGAGTCTCCTCCAAAGCTATGATTATCTGCTGATTACAGAGGAGGGCTCTGGCTGGCACATGCTCTGGATGTTTCCACCATCCTCTCAGACCAGGGGCTTTTTAATTTTTTTTTTTTTTCAGTGTCAGTTAGGAAGATGAAAATATGTCAGATTTTGGTGGCATCCCCATAACGGGGATCAAGAGTCACTAGCAGGGTTGGGGTAGGCACTGTTAAGCACTTCAGGGCAGAGTGCAGGCACTCAAGAGTGTGGTTATTTGTATCTGTGCTCCCTTCATAAATGTGGATTTACTGGGATTGCTGGAAAGGGATGCTTCTGTTCAGTTTGTGTTCACTGCTGAGTCCTCTCCACACCTCTCTCTTTCCTCCCTGTTCCCCACACATGCTGTGTGTGACCAGAGCCGACCATTGGTATCCAGTGCTTCCCTGATGGAACTGCAGAGCTCTCCTGCAACATGGCCAGCAACGAGATCCTGGTCTTTCGGTGGCTGCTGAATGGCACCCACCTGAAAGCTGAGGGGGCTTGCATTAAGGATGCTGGGAAGAAAGTTCACCTGGGCAGAACTGAGCCTGGGGAGTTTGTGTGTGAAATTTTGAAGGGGAACAGTGTCACGAGGACCAGGCCCATTACACTGTCTTGCAGCTATGGTGAGTAATGGCATCTCCATAAAATCTTACTTTTGGTCTCTTGCAGCAGCAAAATTAAGAGCTGATGGTGTCCTCAAAATATCAAACTCTTCTGTCCTCTTCTGGCATCTCCCTTCCAGAGTTACCAAATCCTGCCTTTAGAAAGTAACCCCTTGATTTCCTTCTCCCTCTTGTGCTTCGGACTGATATAGCCTACAACCATAGATGGGATAAGTTTGTTGAGGAGGTCCTTTTACCCAGCTTTGCAGCAAGGATGGATCTCCATCTGTCTCTTTTCCTACTTTTTGGTGATGGAGATTTGCACCCCCCTGTGCACCAATCCTCTACGCTGCTTTAGAAACACATGCTGCTTCCTACTCTGATGTGCATCCATGACCCAGCTGCCTTCCAGTTTCTGTGCATCCCCATAAAAACCTTTCTACTAGTTCAGCCCTGTTGCTTCTGGACTCAATTGGGGTGTTTTGCTTCATCTCTTTTCCCCTTATCTAGACCAGAAGCACAAAATATTTTATGATCTATGCAAATGTCTCTCCATCAGCCCCATCCATCAGAAGTGAGTAAAGACACAAGCCATTTACTTCTGGAATGTAGAGTTTTTTCCCCTCCATATCCTTGCTCAGACATATAAGTCTGTGAGAAGCCTGAGACTTTATCCATTTGCAACCTATTCATAAATGCCGAGTATTCTGCTTGAATAAGGCCGTAGCTCAATGAGACAGAAAATCTGGATCCTTGGGTATCATTTAATTTGCACCTCCAGTAGTGAAGGTTCTACTCTCTAGCAGCAAAGATGGCTATCAAAACCACAGGCATAACTTAACTATAAGGTTTTTGACAAATTTTGCTGTAATTAATTTAATCACTTTTGCCACTAGATAATTAATTTAATCACTAAAATGCCACTAGTAGCATTTTAGAAATTGTCTGGGACACTCCAGCTCCATGGCAGATGTTGTCTTTTCTTCTGTGGTTGCATGCAGCTGATGTGAAAGCATGCCTCCTGACCATTTCTGTGTCCAGTGTGGCAGTCAGCAGAGGTGCTGTGGGCTGTCCGTGCCTGGCCCCTCTGGCACCACTGGCCAGTCTGTGCAGATTTGGTATTTGTGGCTCTGGAGCAGTGATCTGGAATTTGCCCAGTTAAAATGGTTGGAGGCTGTTCCATGTAGTCAGAGCCAAGCTGGCTGAGGCACTGGGGAATGAGGCTCTCCACATCCATGTGAACATCCATGAGCTGTTCAGTTAAGCCCTCTGATAAATCACACAAGTGCTCTCAGATTCCATGGCTGATCCTGGGTGGCTGCCCAGTCCCCTGGGTGCGATATCTGTTCCCGTTTCCCCTTGGAAAGCTCATGAGAGAATTTAGTGATATCTCTTTAGAGATGGACATGGTCATAAACACATATTTGGAAGGGTCTGAATTAAAGAAAGTGGCAGCAATTCCACTTTTTAGTCACCAAATGCAACCACATTTGTAAAAAGTAAATGAAAGAAATTATGGGTACCAGTAAAATGAATTGAAGAGGGAAATGGGTTCATTTAATTTAATTGAAGGTTAACTAATTATTTTTGTAGGTTATTATTTGCTCCAGGCAAAGGGATGAATTTACATTTTCCACTGTAGGTATACAAGCTATGTAAAAACATCTATTTGGGCAATCTGTTGGCTGATGAAATGAATTTTGAATAACCAAAAAACAATATGTCAGAAATGCTGTAATCATACCAGGCAACACAGGACTCTGAGCACACACAATTCAGAAGTTAAGAAGTCAACATATATAAAAGACTTTTATTGATTAATTACTTGTTCATTGTTTATTTTTAACACAATATTTTATCCCCAAAAGACCTTACTAACAAGTGGTAATTTTTTGGGAAAAAAATTTCCAACTTGTATTTATACTTTTCATTATATTCTCTAAGCATTCATCAACTAAAATAATTAGGGAAATTATTTCTGAGCTGCTGAAAATTTTTAATTTTGAATATGGATTTTTTTGAACTTGGTAATTGTTCTTAAAGGAATGAAACAAGCACTCTGAAAATACCACAAGCACCTGTGTGCAGATGTTTTTACTGTCCCGGTGAGTAGGTGGGGTATGATGCCATGTAGTACATCCTGTAACATTTAAAATTCTTCCTAGTCTCTGGAGAGATGGAGCAATTAGTGCTTTTGAGGGCTTGAAAATACGCTTCAAATGAGCCTGTTGGTGGCTCCTGTGCTGTGCAGGCGTGTGTGCTGCTGAAAAGCAGTTAAATTATTCAGAAAGGGATGGCACAGACTTACCTAAGGAATTTATGTTATTGTTAAAATGGAGCTGTATGGGTTGTTTTTTTTGCATATGGCCAGAAGAGTTTTTCTAGAGGCTGTGTCAAGTTGAAGGGAATTATTTCAGTGAAGAAACAAGCCTGGATGGGTCTCTCTTGTGCAAGTCTGCCATGCCTGCACCAGCTGCCTGCTCAGCAGCAGTGAGCGTGCGGGTCTGCCCCATCACAGCAACCCTGAGCAAGGGTTGCTGAGCTGGGAAATAATCACCAGTGACTTGTGCTGCCCTTCTGCTCAGCCATCTGCAGCCCTGGCTCCTGCTGCTGTTCTGCACTCCCGGCCAGGCAGGGGAACATTGTGGAATCCTTCCCCGAGCAGCGGAGGTTGGGAAGGGCTTTTCTCCTGCAGTTCGAGTGGCCACAGTCTTTGGTGCTTGAGGCAGTGCAGGCTCTGATGAGACTTGCACTAGGGTTGGTGCAGTCATTACATGACTGTCCTGAGTGGATTCTCTGATGCCAGCTCTGAGGGTAGCCTCTGCAGCTTTTCCTTCAGCAGGAGGTACTTCCTTAGGTCTCCTTCCTTAGCTGCCTGTTTTCATACAACTTGTTGAAATGTAGTATCTTTCAAACCACCACCTTCTCTGTTAAACTTCATTAAAACTTACAGATTACCTCATATGTCAGTGATCAGAGCAGGCAGAAGTGAATGCACACAGCTTAGGCACACAGGCGTCTCTTAATGAAAAATTCCATGCCATAATTAAACGATGTGACATAAATCACAAAGTGCCACAGGTGACAGTGTCACCTGCCCTGATCCAAACTAAGGCAACAGTGATGTCAACAAGCTCTAATGTGGCTGCAGGGTTTCTCCCACTGGGAGAAAGGAGTTTGTCCACCATAGTAGCTAACAATGCTGTGTCCTTCCTGCAGACCTGCTGCGGTACCCGGGGTTCGTTTACATCCTGGCAGGGTGTGCAGCGGGTGTGCTTATCCTGGTGGTGGCTTTGCCTGCAGCCATATGTTGCTGCATGAAGAGGAGACACAAGTTCATCCCAGTGCCTTCAGGTGAGTGGGGAATGGTGTTATGAGTTTTGGAGAGGACTGTGTTTGTGCAGGCTGGGGTTGACATGGCCTTAGATTAACCTGGTCTCAGCTGGGTGGCTGCTTTTCCTCCAGCCTGTCCTCCCTTGACCTGCTGGAGCAGAAGTCTGCTTGCTGATAGGCAGCCTCTATGGCTAGCAGGGTCTTGAATTAAACCTTGCTTTTCCTTTATTCACCTCACACTTGTGCCCTCACCCTGTGCTCCTGGCCAGAAGAAAAACCCACAGCAAAACCTCTCCTATGAGCAATAAAATGGAACCTGATTGAGGCGTGATCCCAAAATGACCTGAAGGTTTCTGACGGCAGTCTGCTGTCAGCAGCAGTCCCTGAGAGCAATCTGCCCGTGCCACCTCAAGCTGTGATCCTGCGGGCAGGGCCAGGCTGTCTCTGGCAGGCTGGCAGTGACCCTCCGTTCTGGGCATCTGTCCGCCCCGGGAGGGGACGTAGAGCCGGGCTGGGGTCTGCCCTCGCAGCAGGGCTGCCAGGGCTGCAGGCATGGAGGCCTCCTCCTCCAGACCTCTGCGTTTGGTTTCACAGAGGAGGAGAAGGACGACGGGCTAACAATGTCAGTGGTGTCCGGTGAAGGCACGAAGAGCCCCCGCCGTGGAGACCGTGTGGAGGCTCAGGCTGCCCACACGGACCGTGCCCCGAAGGCTGGTGAGTCCAGCGACCTGGCCGAGCTCAGACACCTGGTCTGAGGGGCACAGGGTGGCTGCTGGGGGTGGAAGTGACACTAGAGAGGGGCCTGGGACATGCCAGCACAGGGAGCTGCTGCACCTCTTCCAGGGCATTTTTAAGTACGTTGCTCAGGCAGCATCCCACAAACATCCCACAGAGGGTGCTGCCAGCAGGCTGTGGGCTCCAGTATCTCCTGTGCTAGAACATATACCCCAGAAACAGCACCCCCCCCACAAAACTCAGCTGCTTCCCTGCAATTTTCTCACCCTTCTCCCCTTCTCATCAGTAACGTTTTACGAAAATTGGTTTTGTTTTTTTAAAGCAGTCATCTTCAGGACAGCAGGAACCAATAGAGTGAGCTGTAAACACAGCTTAATCCCATCAAAGCCAGAGGCTTGTGTATTTTCTTAAACTGAGGCTAGAGTGGGAATATGGTCACATTTTAAATTTTTCAAGGAAATGGAGCATAAACCCCCACAGCCTTAGCACAATGTAGTCAAGAGAGTGTGGTGATAAAGACCCTCCAGACATGTCCTGTTCTCTAAGTGCTTGATATTAGTACTCCACTTTTTGCATTATGTTTCCCTCAGTTTTGCTTCCCAAACACAAATGCTGGCAACACCTTGCCTAGTAATGCACCATCATCAGCTGAAGTAGGTTTAGGAGAGACATGAACTGGAGCACCTTTACATAGGTCATAGCCTGGTCTCAGCACTGTTGTCTCCATTTCTGGTGGCCTTCACTGTACCATGCACAGCCTCCTGTAGCTCTGCTGTGCTTTATATCTAACCTTGGATGCTCTTTGCTCTGCTTTCAAAATATTATATGCTACTCATAAACACAGCGCAAGAAAGAGGGAAAAAAAGGTCTTTCAGTTCATTGTTTAATATTAATGTACTTCAAGTATAGAGCTTTTAATAAAAAATACAAACATTATAAGTTTGACTAAAAAGTAGTCCATATTTAAATTTTTTACAATTTAGTAAAAAGCAGAGATGCATGTGGAAGGTAGGTGAGAACTAAATGTGTGCTGTTAGCCAGCTTTAATTATTCAGATGTAAGTGAATAGATTTGGCTTTAGTATTTTGGTACTAAAGGTTTGGTACTAACAGTAGTGAAGTACTTTGGTACTAAGAAGCTGGATAGCTTCAGTACCAAAGTGCCCTGAGGCATGATGGATGGCTCAAAAAATAAGTAGTTACAGAGAAAATTGAAATTTGACTTGCAGATGCCTGGGGTGAGGGGACTGAGCGGATTAGGCAGCCTGCAGCATTAGGGGCCAGGGCGTGAATTTCCATGAGGGTGAGCCATAGTGTGGGCTATAAACCATTTCTCCCTTTTCTAGATGCTGCCCAGATTGGTCAAGGTGTTGAGCCCCAGCCACTGGCAGAAGAAAACTTACCAGTGCAGATAGAAGCTGAGGAAATGCCAGATGCTGAGGTCCTAGTTGATATGGAAAGCCAGGAAGATGCCTCAGACTGTTTCCCGGATCCAACTGATGACTGATCTGCCACGCTTGCTGTTCCACCCTGAAGCCTGTGACACTTGTCCTTCGCATCCCATAGTCTCACTGTGTCTGGAAAATTTTAGCAGGGGAAAGACGTCAGGTGTCAGACCTTCTGACCTCATTTCAAAAGAAAAAAGAAAACACAGAGAAAAGCACACACATGGCTTCAAGGCCCACTCCCCTGGCCTGACAGGTTCACCCACAAACAAAAGGGGCAGCTCTTTGATGCTTTGCCTGATAACAGAGCTGCAGCTAAACTGAGGAGCCCAGGGGACAGCCTGGAATGAGAGGGCTCCTCCTGCTCCGTGCCCACCCCATGTCTTGCCGTGTCTGCCAGCCAGGGCAGGCAGTACAGGCAGGTTGATGTGGCCTGCCAGTCCCAGGCAGAAGCCAAAGACTTGCCAGAAATTTCCTGAGAAAGCTTCTTCTCGGGAGACTTCAGGGCAATTTTTTCACAGGCCCTACCAAGGAAACTCAAAGGAGGTCTCAGCTCTGAGTCTGCTGTCCTGGGTGCTTATCTGAGCCGCTCCTTTGAGTTCCAGATTTGGCCCTCACCTCTTGCTGCCCGGAGCAGGAGCAGTGGTGGGGGCTTGAAATTTGACTTGCAGATGCTGTGTGCAGACCCAGGGTAATGCTGGCTTTGCTCACCTCTTGGTGCCCCAAAGGACAGAGGGTACAGGTTCCCTTTCACCAGAACCTGACTGCTTGGGCTGCCCCCGAGCTAAGCCAGCGCTGTCACTCGCTTGCTTGCCTGCAGCAGGAGGGGGCCTGGGGCTTGGGGCTGCAATTTTGGCAGAAACCTTAATTTTAAGGCTGAGATTGTTTATCAATGCAAGCATTAGTGCCTTTAGTGTAATAGTTTAGCTGCTGCAAGCTGATGAAGCTGGCCATCTGCCTGTGCATGTAGGCTTGTTCAGAGCTGTGTTATTTGCACAGACAGCAGCAATTTATAGAATCTCTTAGGTAAGTCGTGCTGCTACGCATGTCCTGTTCTGCTCAGGGGAGCTGTGCCTGTGGAGCAGCTGGGCTAGACCTGCAGGGAAGAAGGATGTGGTCAGGAGAGGGCAAGGATTCTGTCCTCAGGCAGCTGAGTCCCAGCAAAGCTGCCAGGGACTGGAAGGCTGTCAGGCTGCAGGGAGTGCTGCAGGATGTGCTGCCAGAGCAAGGTATTTACTGTAAAAGACAATTTTAGTAGTCTTACTGAGGTGGTAAATGGGTTGTTAGTTTTAAAATAGCTTTCTGGGCTAGAAAGACATGGTAGTAAAAGCAGAGATGGTACAGACTGGGACCAAAAGGGATGGGGAGTTGTGTACTCCCCATCCTCTCCTTCCTTGTCATTTCGTCCCTGTTTTATATTGTGCTGACACTGAATCCCTTGGAAATATATTTAAGGTATGCCTGCTGAAAGCCATCCAACGAGGGCTGCAAGCACCCCAGCAGAATCCAAACTAAACTGAGGGCTTCTCTTCCAGGAGAGGGACTGGTGGGATGCCTGCACACTTACCTGGGAGTCCTTAATCTCTGTGTACTTGCCAAGGCTCTGCATCAGTGACACTCAGCCATAAGTGATTGTTCTTGTTGTTTCCTTGTCCTGTGACTCTCTCTGGAAGGTGTTTGAATCATGTGTGCTGTGCTGGTGGTGATTCAGCCTGTCCCTGCTTTTAAAGACTGCTGTAGGAATCAGGTCTTCCACGGTAAGAAGGACGTGATAATTCTTTTCCTTACGGTGCTGTTCTAACTCCTTTCAGTATAAACATTCCTCAAAGGCTGTGAGTTGAATGACAAAAAAAGTGACACTGAGTGCTTGGGGTGGCAGCACAGAAGCAGTGATGCTGGGTGAATGTCACCAGGCCAGTGTCACCAAAATGATGGGACACAGTCAGAATTGCTTCACTTCTGCACTTTCTAGCAGGGGCAGGAGGGGACAGTCGACTCCAGCAGATGCTTTGGAGGCTGATCAGTGCTCTGAGCTCCACTGGAGGCAGTGGCAGTATTTCAGTGCTGAGGATGAGAGCTGGGCCAGCCTTGTCCTGCTGGGCTGGGGCATCCCAGCTCTAGCTTATCCTAGTGCTGCCTTCCTCCTGCCAGCCCTGGGAGGGCTATGAACATCACCACTATTATGATCCCAGTCCTGGAAAGATTTTTCCCATAGAGATGTGAGAGGTCTTTGTGAGACAGATTGAGCCGTGGTTGGTTTTCTGTCCTTTACCACTGAAAGTGCCATTCAGCAATGGGGCAAAAGTTTCTGCTACTGTGAGGTCAGGAGAGAAGTGATGCAGCCTGTGCTCTTCCTTTAACTGTATGTGTTCATACCCTGCTATTGTTCTCTTTTTGGTGTTTTTTTCCTTTTTCCTTTCCCCCCATGATTCATTTTGTTCCAAATAAAAAGATCTGTTTTCTACCTTGTTTCAGAACTCTAAGTTTTGTTATTTACTAATTGTTTCTTTCTGTTTTTTACAGGAAGTACAGGTTATTTTCAAATGTATGCACAGCCAAATAAAGGAAAGGTGATAACAAGTTATTGCTGACTAAAGCTGACCTAGGTGGTCAAGGGCACAGAGATCATGAGGACATTCATCTGTAAGTCACCCCAGGAGAGGCTGTAGGACAGTGGCACGAGCTTGTCCTTGTTGGAATGTGTGTGTTAATGTACATCTGTGTGCACCAGCAGCTCACCAAGCCCTGCTCTGATGCCTGAACTGTGAGCTGCAGGGTGATGGTCTGGTTTTACCCATCTTTATCCATCTGTAATTTTTGTGACACCTAAGTCACCTTAGCTGTGAGAGAGGATGCTGGACTGCATTGCACTTTTTGCAAGCAGGAGGTGGCTCATTCTCACCCTTAGACAAGTGGGCCCAGATTGTGGGTAAAAGTAATGTCCTAATATGATCCTATCAAACCCCTGGTGTTTACCATAACAGGTTTATCCCTGGAGAACTGGTGTGACTGGCATGGTGATCCTGCCTGCAGTCTGTGAACCCAGCACTCTGAGGAGCCATCTGCCTGAATTTCCAGGTGTTTTCCAGTCTGGCTATGGTGTTGCATCTCCCAGGAAAGGGCAGGGACACTTTCCAGCCTGGGCCTGACAGGAGAACAGGATATGGATGTGGGTGGTAATATCAGGGATTTGACCAGAAACAGAGGTACCTGTGCTGCCTCTTTGGGGTTTCTGGTGCCTTTGGTGAGGCTGTGCCATGCCAGCCCTGCCTTCTCTGGGCTGCTGAGAGAGCCCTTGGTGCCAGAGTGCCTCCAGGTGGCTTCCTCTGGGGGGGCTGGTGCTTTCCAGGTGATGGGAACTGACCACCACATCATTCCCTCTGGCCACTGGTCATGACTGGACAAGGCTGGGAGTAGTGCAGCTTCCATCCCTCTGCTGATCAAGTGCTGGCAGGACGAGGGGAGCTCTGGTCTGTGGGAAATGTGGGTGTTTTGGGATGTGCTATCCTCCCACCAGTGGTTTGTAGCACTGTAGAGAATAGAGGTTTAGATTTGTATCCATGTCAGTCTTTCACGGTGGGAAGAGAGTAGTTTGCTTGTGGCAAGTGCTAAGCAGCAACTGACATGAAATGCAATATGTAATCTTTTCATCATGTAATTTAGTTTATGAATATAAAAGGAGAGCTGAGAATGAGCTTTCTGGACTAAAGATCAAAGTGAAAGCAAAAGCATGCAAGAAGTGTGTTGTAGAATGGTGAGCAGGGAAATGGAAGGATCCTTCTAGATTTCTTTTAGCATTCAGGATGAACTCGTCCCCACAAAACTATCACATCAGAAAAGCTCCCACATCCCAGTAATGAAACAGTGCTTTGTTTCTCAACCTCTACCACAGGCCGCTGTGCCTGACGTCCCTGTGGTTGTGTAGGTAGCCCTTGGGGTGGTGTCTGAGCCCAGCACAGAAGCAGAGACACCAGGACAAGAGTCAGTAGTTTATGGGGGAGCTGCAGGACCAGCCCTCTCTGTCACCCTCAACTCTACAGAAACAAGAGTGGAGGCTGGTGAGTCTGAGAGAAGATAGACAAAACTGATAGTGGTCAGTGGTTGTGTGAACTTCTGATAGAAATCTCTTTGTAGTTGAAAAAAAACCCTCTAGATTTTAGGCATGTACATGGTAAGTTCATGTCACTTTTTATGAATTATTACAGCTCATGTCAAAACAAGCAAACAAGAAGTTAATGTGTAATGAACCTGTAGCAGTCAGTGTTATGGAGAGACATCTTTAAAGTAATTTCTTAAAATGAAACAGCAAATTCTGGTGGTGCTGTAAAATTCAAACTGGGATTATTACCACCAGGCAGGCAGGAGTGAGATGCCCCACAGATTTCCATAGGTGAACACACAGAACTGGTAACAGAAGTGGGCAGAAGCATGACCCATTTCTGTCTGAGGTGGAAGCAGAATTCCATGATGTGTCATTGCAGAAGCTCAGATTAGTCTTTGGAGACTGTTTGTGCATTCTTCCACACTGCTCAGTGCCTGGGACCTTTGACAACCACTGCGTCCTGCATCGGTTTTGTTCAGAGTAAATGTTGCATTTCCTCTTTGTGAGATTTCATGACTCATCTCAGGCAGAGGATGTGGCTGGAGACAGCAGGGCTGTCTTTACTGAGAACCTAGAAGGCTCTAAACCCTTCTAGATATTTGCATTTTTCCAGCAAGCAAATCATAGAATCATAGAAAGGTTTGGGTTTGAAGGGACCTTAAACTTTAATTTAATTCCAACACTCCTGCTGTGGGCAGGGACACCTTCACTAGACAAGGTTGCTTAGATCCCTGTCCTGGCCTTGAACATTTCCAGGGATGGGGCAGCTACAGCTTCCCTGGGCCACCTGTGTCTCAGCAGCCTCACAGAAAAGAATTTCTCCCTGATACCCAATATAAACCTACTCTATTTCAGTTTGAAGCCTTTGCCCCATGTCCTGTCACTGCATGCCGTTGCTGGCAGGTGTTCTGTTAGTTACACCAAGATTAATTTAGTTTTGTTATGATTAGCAGATTTCTTTGGGCTGTGCAGGACCACAGGTGCAGCAGTCTTTCTGCCTGTGCATGCCGATGGCATCATTGTCACCTTCATGAAGGGATTTCCTGCCTGGGGTGGGAGTTCAACCCCAAGCAGCAGAGGCTCCCCCACTCTCCCATCAGCAGGAATCTGACTTTATAAAATCACTCATTATACTTGTAGGTTCATGTACAGCTGTGGTCTGCTCATTGTGCCAAGCACTAACATAAGGAAAGTTCCCATCTGCAGAGGTAGAAAATATGGTGGCCAATGTCAGCTTATTTTTAAATTGATCTATTTTTCTGGTTAGCATTTTCCGTGTCACACTTAGCCAATATCCATGATAAAATACTGGATGAGGCTTTAGTCTAAAGTGCGTGCTTTATAGCTAATATAAATACAGCTACTATTGGAAATTCTGTGCAGAGTTTTTAAAACTG